TAGTTGGAAACTAGATAAGGTGATATACATTTTTTAGGTGGTGCACATTCAAGGCTTCCCATTTCTCCACCACGTTTTATGGTGGGTAGGTTGATGTTATATTRAATATAGAAATAATTGGATACTGGATAAGATTATATCTGATATTTTGAGTATACAAATTTTCCAAGCGCCTCCGGTTGTCAATCATCGGCTCTGCAATATCGTATTCGGTTTACTAAAGTGTTGCGCAATTTAGTTAAGTGAAGTGAGCAATCGATCATATAATAGCATATATTTGATATTTTGGTTGAATTCTCACGATAAARTGAGCTCAAGATGAGGCTTTGGGGAAACAAAAGGGCTACCTATTATTTCCTTGGAGCATCGTTYTATATCAAGGCACCATATCAAAAATGACTATTGCTCTTACCATTAACGGTTTGTAAAACCTGCATTGGTTCGTCGTTTTYGATAGGARTTATCTTTTGTAAAGTCTCTTTGACCTAAATAATAATTTGAATGTGCTTAGTTTTGGCCAAAAAGTAAATACAAGAGGAAATGAGATTTTAGAGTCTCTTCTCTGGCGAACTTTGTTCCATTACTGATCGCTCGGTCCAGTGTCGAAAGAATATATTTTTATACCAGCCTGTTTATACCTATTTTTCCTTGGTGAAATAAGGCACGCAAAGAGTKGAAAGGGGGAAGAAACGAAGAAACAATTCGAGAAAGCTCTAAAATCTCTTGTGTAGCTTTTAATTAAAATTACGAAAGCATTACACTTTTCAAGCCTTATCCTTTTCAAACCTCTACCAACCTTTAACACATGGCTKACCTGACTCAAAAACAAAATGTACTAAGCAAAGTCAAACGAAAAAAAACAAATGAAATGAAAACAAGATAAAATCATGCAGGTTTGTTTGGCATGCATCTTTTCATTATTTTGAGTACTATAAAATTCTGCTTACCAACCCATCCTCAGTTTGAGTAAAAGACTCGATAACAACTTTCTTTTTTTCTTCTAAGGCTACCATCTGCTCCTTTAGTTTGCCTTCCAACTCTAGTACCTTGTCTTTCCACTGTAATGCGCTTTTTGATTGAGACTCAGTCTGACTTTTGGCATCATCCAATTGCAATCTGAGGTTTACTACCTGAAAAACCAATATCACAAATCTCGGTTTCTAAGCGTATTAATTGTGATAATAAATGAATGTTCGCTGCTCATCAGCGTCAAAAAGGTGAATTACAACTATAGCATCTATACTTTTCCCTGGAAACTCGTCTTTTGTATTTTCTTTTTTTCTTTTTCTTTTTCTTTTTTTCAACTTAAACATCAAAAGAAGACTGCGTTCTCAATCCACGGCTACTTTTCAAGATGGCACAATGAACTTTGTAAGGACTGAGATACCTCATCCTCGAATGTACAAATTCGCTTCTCAAGAAGCATATTTGTTTCTTTCAAATCAAAGTTGTCTTTTTGCACTTCTGACAATGCTCCTGAAGATTCTTTCAAGTTCTCCTCCATCTCAATATATTTTTCTTTCCACTGTTGACAAGCACTTGATTGAGCGGCACCTTCGCTCTGTTCTTTTGTTAGTTTAGAGGCTAGATCTCTTATCTGCAAAGTTAAAATTGTAGTTTTACTAATGAAAGGTCTTCATGGCARCAAGTACAGTCCATTGTATCAAATTGTCTTTGATACATCGAAAAGAAGCTTTACACTTTGCCTATAAGAAAAGCAGTCTTGACAGCAACGTAATAATTAAGCCGTTTCTTAAAAGTTTCGAAGAAACGATCAAATGCATCATTTTATGAAATCCCTAATTTACATTAGATAACTCAAAAAATATGTTGTGTGTACCTCAAAATCTTTGTCTTCAATTTGTTTTAACAAMTGATTCTTCGTTTCGTTAAAGTCTTCGCTACTTTTCTGGATGTTAGCGCGCATGTCGTCTATCTCACTGATTAGTTGTTCTTTCTGTTCGGACAGTTTACCATTAGTTTCTTCTAAAGAGTTTTGTGCAAGAGCTAGTGCATCTAATTGTTCTTTAACTTCATTCAAATGTCTGTCCTTTTCTTCTTTCTGTTGAGAGATAAAATACACCAWTTTCAAGATTGGCATAGCTTTGATGATAGGAGTCTCCTCAACATAAGTAAGAATTCACTTGTCATTTGAGATTTTGCGAGAAAGTTGCTCCAGGCTCGTTGGATCTGGGGAAAGGGAACATTTAATGTGAAAATGATCTGTTTTGCATTGTATGTTTTTAACAAGCGTAAAATAACCTTAAATTTGAGAGACCAGATGGTCTAATGATCTACAGGGTTCGAATCCTACGCCAGGTCATCAAGTTGTGAGCCATTTGCAAGTTTTGTTGACTTGGCCAAACTTAAGAGGGTTTGGGTTTCTCTTCCAGTTTCATTTGCTGATTCTCAATAACCTGAAAGTGTTAATAATCAACCCATTCACCTCAGAATTCCATGCTTCTCGTTTTTCTTCCATTTCTTCCAGTAGCTTCTTGTWTGATTTTATGGCTTCTTGTAACTGGTTTTTAAATTCCTCGCACTCTGACTTGACTTCATCTAATTCAAAATGGGCCATGGCCTCTAGTTCTGAATGCTTCTTTACGGCGTCGACATGTCTATCAACCAGTGTCTGTGCTTCCTTTAACGATTCCAACAGGTTCTGCAAAAATTTGTCGGTGAAGATTTTAATTTTTTTTTAATTGTATAGATACTCGTAGATACTCATTAACTCTCTTACTTTATTTTCTTCTTTTGCTTCATCAAGGAGACTTTGAAGTTGACGACAGAGTTCTGTTTGCTAGGATGTAAATAAATGGTTAAAATAGAATTCAAAATTTGCTTTGCTGCCTGTTTGAATCGTAGACGGGGGATGAGAAACAGGGGGTGCAACAGAAATCTGCTTGACTTGGACAGCAAGAACAGATAAAACGATCTAACGAAATGACGAAGATGTAGTCAACAATTACTGAATTGAAACAAAAGTCTGGATAATTTACGTTTTGTTTTATGAAAATTATTTGTATTTTCGGTCTTGTCTGTGCACGCAGCAGCCTACATGACGTAACGGAAGAAAACATATTAGAAACAAATGAATCGAATATGATTTACCATTTTCAATTCCTTTTCACTGTTATCATTTGTTCGGTTGCTGCTTTCATAAGTAGACAACAATGCTTTATGATTTTCCATGATAACTTTAAAATGTGCCAGCTCTTTCTGTTTTTCCTCCAAGCTCTGCTTGCAAGCATTGAGCTGGCAGTTTTGGTGCTCATTGCTGTATGTAAGTTTTCGGTGAAGACGATTTGCAGCTCCCACTGAATGCCAGAAAAATGTTATAAGAACAGAATCATTTTAAATGAATAGACAGTGCTGGGACATCCAGCTATATTCAGACTTGCAGATTATTTTTCATAAGTACACTACATGTAAACTCAAAAAAAAAGATTTTTCTTTCCGGATTTTTTGTTCAATGCGTGAATAGCGTTAGTCCAGTGCTAAATGATGTTGCACTGCACTGCAGCATAGGATTTTAAAAGCTAACCAAGGATTACCGCTGGTAGAGCTCAAGTTTTGAAGATTGTCCCTATTAWTTACCATTTCTCTCGACCTCATCTAAAAGTCCAAGAATATCATCGGCTTGTTTAAATGCCTCGCGCTGTTTCTTCTCTATCTCTGCCAGCTGTTTCACATGATTTTCGCGAGCGATTGTGTGKAGGTGAAGTTCTCTTTCCTAATGGCGTTAATAACATTCTTTAGATTATTTCATTGTTTCTACAAGCAGAGAATCTTTTGAAATACAATATGAAGATATAATTGACTCACAATACGTTAAGGTACGTGGAATTAGAGTGAATGATATACTTTTAAGCTACCAAATACAGCCTTATAGCAAGGACCCCGGAGACGGAGGGGCTGGGGGGCTGCGGCGCCCCAACTTTTTGCTTCCGAAAAATTAATAATAAATGAAATTGATAAGAATAAAATAAAAAAAAATACAAAAAATCGATGATCAGAGCTCGACTATACTGACGTCATATGTGACGAAATCAAGTTGGAAACGTTAAAGAGTCAACTTCAAGTCATGCGTCAGAAACTGAAGKGCGAGGGTCCTATGGAATATTTTGATTGTATTCTTTACGTAGTTAAGAAACTATCCAAAGCAGAAAAAAGCTTAGTTAGTGAGACGGTGACCCCTATGTCAGCTGTTGGAAGTCAATCCAACGCTTGCGCTTCGTGCGAGAGATCATTTTCAGCAGCAGACGTCTGAAAACCTGGCTAAGATCAAATATGACAGAGCAACGATTCAGCAATCTCACGCTACTAAATTGCCATAAGAGGAAACAGAGGAGCTGAATGTCAWTGAAATCACCAATGCCCTGGCTGGACGCAACGACAACCGAAAGAATTTTGGACTCTTAAATATTGCAGATCGCTGAAGAGAAAAAAAGTCACAAGATCTATCGAATAAATTTTTATTGTCAGGAGCAAAAATGCATTTTTTATTGTTTAGTTACGCAAAATTTCCTTAAAATTAATGCATCATACATCTTCTCGATGCTCTTCCGAGGATTAAAGCTACAAAATTTTCAGGGGGGGGAGCATTGCCCCGGACCTCCCTACAAAAATCGCGCCTTCGGCGCTTACCGGCCCCCCAACATATTTGACCGCTCCACAGTCCCTGCATAGTCTATAAGAAAGACCTTTTAAGGTCTTTTAAAAATCACGACACTGCAACGGCTTCTCTGACATCGAATCCTAACTGTTCATGCACTTTATCAAAGTACTGCAGTCAGACGTTTATCAAGGGCGTGATTTCACAAGGGAAATTTAACACACTCTTGGASTTATCAATGCAAGGTTATGATAACAAATTTATACTATCTTAACAACACACTTCTAACAGTTTATTAACTCTCACCAGATCACTGGCTCTTTTTTCGATATTGTGCTTCGCTAGCTGATGAAAATAAGACATAAATATTACTAATCGATCGATCGATTGGTCGGTCGGTCAGTCGATCGATCGATTGATTGACTGCTTGGTTGATTGATTGAAATAGCGAAATAAGGATAACTCAATAGTGTGAAGACTGATTGGAAATCCGGGTAATCCTTTTTAAAAAAAAGAATCTTTTTCATTGAATTCGTATAATGTGCACAGAAATTGTCGCCTTATGGACAGCTCTTCTAACAATCGATCAACCACAAAATTTGTGGTTGATCGATTGTTAGAAGAGCTGTCTATAAGGCGACAATTTCTGTGCACATTATACGAATTCAATGAAAAAGATTCTTTTTTTTTAAAAAGGATTACCCGGATTTTGAATACAATGACAGTAAAAGTAAAGGATAAGAATATATGCATAAATAGATATCCTATAACATACTAGCTAGTTCTTAATGTTCCAGTGCACGGTACAGTGATAAAAGACTTTTCAATGCTCTCATGTTTGACTGTTTCCTGTTACTTACCCGAAGAACTCTTATTTCTTCTTTCAACTGGACAATTTCTTTGTCACTGCATTGCTGTGAAACCTCATRCTTGGCCTTAAATGAGCTCATAGTATATTAGAAATTGACATCAGTCCTTAATTTACCAAGCAAAGGCTCCTCACATTCACAAGTGGCTTTACATTAATGGACACCACAGAGGCATCCCTTAATGTCAGAAACCATAATGATTCAAAATGGCCGTTATAACCGTAAAAGCAATTGAACATTATTTCATTTATTTCATTTTAACAATTACCTTATTCGTTTCAAACTGCCGAAGCTTTTCTTCAAACTGAAAAAGTAAAATAGGCCGTAGCATTCAGACGTACGTAAAGCAGTGCAATTGAAAGATCGAAACTATATATTATTGGAACGAACCTGTTTTGCCACGTCTACCTCGCGTTTCTCATACATATCTCTCAAAGAGCCATTCCTGGACACTTCTTCGTCCTGGATTAAATTGAATCAGTAAATAAGGGATATGACTATTCGTACCATCRTTTTTAACACCCTTAGTTTATGGTAGATCTCATCTCTTATTACACTAGGAAGTCCAATGGTGCGAYATGCAACGTGGAAAAGGGGGMAGTCTTGGGCCACCATGAAATGGACACTACTTACCAGAAGTTCATACTTCTATACTTACCCATTGGCGATGCATTTCATTTTTCTCCGTCATCAAACTTGTGATTCGTGCTTCATTTTCTGAATCAAGGGTCTAACGACGAATTGGAAAAAAGATTTTTAGACTGACCTGATTCCATCCAGATCCCACCCCCATCCTCGTGCAACCCTTCCCAACACCTTCACCAACATAATTGAATACACCTTTTCAGTTGCTCTTTAAATAGGCCTCGACAACATGTTAAATATTCTTTTGAATTTGTAGGAATGTGAGCAATGCCTACACATTGATATGAATAGTCTTAATTAGCAAATTCAAAAGAATATTTAACTTGCTATCGAGGTCTAAGAGCAACTGAAAAGGTGTATTAACTTACTTTACGCAGCTTCAATTCTTCAACAACCTGTGAGTTATAATTTAATCAACAATTACGCTTAGATTATAAATGATGCAAAAACAACAACAAAAATACAAAAATTAATAACCGACTTTTCCCATCTATGCTTAAATAAGCATATAAAAAGATGTAGTAAATTTAAAAATCAAGCAAGACAAGCATTGCATGTTCCAAAGGACAGACAATATAAGCTTTTAATTAAATAAAATTACTTTAAAACTCACTTCAAAAAAGCTGTTTTTGAAATTTCTTGCCGTTGCTTCTATTTCAGAGTTTCCTTTTTCTTCTTTAGCCTTTGAATTGATTTCTGGAACCTCTATCGCAGTATCAATATTGTTATTTTCAGAAGACTCCTTTTCCGGGCTGTTCTTAGTATCAGGTGGTTCTATTGTTTCAGTTTTGATCGTAGATGATAAGTTTACTTCATTGAAATCATCATTGACTGGATTTTTGTCGCTCAACTCAACCTAAAAACAGAACTCTGAAACTCAGCCAGTATTAAAACTAAGCAGACAACAATCCCGCATCTTTTAATTAAAAGTTTACCTTGTTTTCTGCTTCATTAGAATATGTTTCCCCAAAATTTTCGGCGTCGTCAAAGTCATTTTCTTTTTTAGTGTCTTCAAGGTTGCCGTTTTTGTTCTCGTTCTCACCGTCAGGAGCAATTTTTTCCTCTGTTTCTTCGGACGCAGACATCATTAAAATATTTTTGACATGATGAAGCAAAACATTGTAATATTTTATGTTGATAAATTCAAGTKATGGAGCTTAATTTCTGTGTAGAAAAGTAACAAAACTGTCTGTTTTGAAACGAAAAACTTTTTCCCGCGCTTTTATAGCATTTTGGTAACGCGCGCGCGTCTCTAAGTCCACTGACCATATGCATTGCAGGCGTCAAAATACAATACCGAGAAACAGCCAAAATGGCGGAAGGAAAAGTGAAAAATTTACTTCGTTTGTCAACTTTGAGAGATAAGTACGATGCTTTAACCCTAGCAATTCATGCTTGTTTGGTAGAAAAAGGATTCCGATGCATTGGCTGTGGAGAAGAGGTTTGTGAAATGAAGAAAAACGTTTTCAATTTCAATWAATCAGCTGTTTTTGTGCAACTCACGAAGTCGCAATTGATTTKTATAGAGAAATAGCGACGAAGAGTTTGACTATGGAGAGACTTTGCCTCCTGATTGGAATAGTTTGAACGATGTGTATGCTTTGCAGTACAGGCAGGGAAACATAGGGCCATTTTATCTCTTTAAAGCTTTAAAACTTGGAAATATGTTGGCTGTCTATCTAATGGTAAGTGCAGACGTTAAGTTATTTTAAAAGGCTTTTGAGCTCAGTTTTTGTATTGAAGCAAGAATAAAGACGGCACTTGAAAGATTTTTTTTAACTAGCAAATAAAAGCTGTAATTAATGCATTAGTGTTGATACAACGAAAATAATTATCATATTTGTCTAGGTGAATGGGTGACTGGTGCAATAAATTTTACTTGTGAATATAAGATATAAAAAAAAAAACAACCAGGTTGAATAAAGCTCGGACCCAGTACAGACGTCACGCTTTTGCCACATCACACCAAGTAGTTTGCCACATGATAAACAGCAACAACAACATTTGAAGCAGTTCAAAGCTTTTGCTGCTTAGAATGACT